AGAGGCTTTATGAGATTCAGGGTGTTGTATTTTGTTTTCTTGGTAAGACGACTATCTAGGTGGTACCAAGTACTTGCCACTGCAGCATATTGGGAGGCAGGTGTCTGGATGTCCCACTTTTAATGATACTAAGCCCCTGCATTATAAGCTTCCCCATTTACCTTTCACCTAATGATTTTAGCATCCATTGGTAATAATTGTCTAGACCCATTATTTCTTTAGAGGTTAAAAATGACGATTTTTGAATTTGTATTATTCCTTCTACATAGATTAGCTGTAATACTTCTGTTGTCAGGCAGTCCCTTCTGGGAACATCTCTCCCTGAGCGCTAGGTGAAACTTCAACCCAGGAGAGGGTCTTGACTGATCGAGAAAGAATTCACAAATGGGTTGAACAAAAGCAAGAAGAAATTTGTTAAAGTAAAAGTAATCGCAAGTGTCACAGTTGCATAGTGCCAGGAAGAATGGCTCTTCTATTCGTGCAGCTATGGAGGCCATGGGAAGCAAGAAAGAACAGAAGAGAGAAAACCAAAGTTCACTGAACTCCTGCTCAGCATAGGGACAGATCCCTTGCCAACCCATAAAACCAGGGTCACCTGTCGTCCGATGTCCACTTGGATCTCCACAGCAAAGGAATTATATCCCTACCACCCCAGAACTGGGAAAGCCTTGGAACTCTGGATGGAGTGAATTTATGTTCTTGGAACTTTCCAAAGCAGAGAAAAGGAGACATTCAGGCAGACTGCTAAAGAACATGATCGTATGGCTGCAGTCCCGTCTGCGTCACCCACTTAAGGGGAACATGCAAGGCCCCAAATCAGAGGTCCCCACAGCCACTTCCCTACTTGGCTGAAATAAAACAGGGAGAGAGAAAAGGCTTGTGCTTAAGACTGTAACTTTTTTTGTTTTTTTTTTGCTGCATTTTGCTTTTTTAAAATTATTTTTTATTAAGGTATCATTGATATATAGTCTCATACTCAGGTTTCACATGAGCAACATTGTGGTTACTACATTCCCCCTATTATCAAGTCCCCACCACATACCCCATTACAGTCACTGTCCATCAGCATAGTAAGAAGCTACAGAGTCACTACTTGTCTTTTCTGTGCTATACTGCCTTCCCTGTGCCCCCCCATATTATATGTGCTAATCATCATGCCCCTTAATCCCCTTATCCCTCCCTTCCCACCCACCCTGCCTTGTCCCTATCCCTTTGGTAACTGTTAGTCCATTCTTGGGTTCTGTGAGTCTGCTGCTGTTTTTTTCCTTCAGTTTTTCCTTTGTTCTTATACTCCATGGATGAGTGAAATCATTTGGTATTTGTCTTTCTCTGCTTGGCTTATTTCACTGAGCATAATACCCTGGAGCTCCATCCATGTTGTTGCAAATGGTAGGATTTGTTTTCTTCTTATGGTTGAATAATATTCCATTGTGTATATGTACCACATCTTTATCCATTCATCTACTGATGGACACTTAGATTGCTTCCGTATCTTGGCTATTGTAAATAGTGCTGCAGTAAACATAGGGGTGCATATGTCTTTTTGAATCTGTGATCCTGTTTTCTTAGGGTAAATCCTAGGAGTGGAATTCCTGGGTCAAATGGTATTTGTATTCTTAGTTTTTTGAGGAACCTCCATCTGCTTTCCACAATTAAGACTGTAAAGTTGAATGGAATTGCAGCATCAAAGACACTTACCAATGATGGACCAGGTCTCTTAGTAACCTTCTAGCTGGCTTGAAACAACTCAAACAAAAAGTGCAACAGGCTAAGCAGTATGAAGGTTTTATTTAAAGTAAAGTACACACTAGAAGGAGGGAGGGTGGGAAACCTCAGAGAAAAGGTGCCAAACAGGTTATTTGGAGGGAGAGTAGGAAGGTTTTATTTAAAGTGCCAGTATAAACTCTGACAGGAGTTAGGGCAATCTCAGAGAAAGAGGTGGTATGCTCGTGGGTTTAGGGTTTGGAGTTTTATAGGGCCTTTTGGGTAGTGGTCAGTATAAGGCAAGATGTATGTAGTCTTTGTCTTAAGGATAGGGTTTTCCAGGTAACTGTGTTGATTTGCATCCTGGCACTCTTTATCCATCAAAGCTGACAACTTTCTGTCAGTTTGTTATGCTCTGGAGGTCAGTTCCTTGGAGGTTTCTTTCTTGCCTTGGACACAGACATTACTTAATTGATTAGTGTGACTGGAAGAAAAACATGAGAAGGAAAAACAACATTTTAAGGTTATGTTAAAGAATAGGCTGGCCTTTGTTCGCAAGCTGGACCTTGTAGTGGTGTGATGCTGTCCCACGTCCCTGCTCTAACTCACTTCTATAAGGAACCTTACCTTTGCAACCATTTGTTTACCTGAAATAGTATATATAAAAAAGGCAGTTTGGTCCTTTCTCAACAATCAGTTTGCCCCTTTCTCTTGATCATTTTTCAGAATACTTTGTGAATTGGTATCCTAGCAACTTCCAAAGCTGACCAATAAAGTTTTTTTTTAAAGTATTGTTATGAACTCATAGAGTTTTATGTTTTCAAAATGCTTCAATCTGTTGGAGTCACTATTCTTTTATGTGACATCTTTGACAAATGGCAGTCCCTTCAAATTGCCTGCTGCGTCCTTTTGATATGATCCCAATAGTTTTTTTTTTCTATTGCAATAAGACACTCCAGGATCTTGTTTTTCTAGTGCAATAAGACACTCCAGGATCATTTTGTACATTTTTTTACTCCAAACTTGGAATCAGCCATTTCTGATTCCTTTTAGCGGGAAATGGTATTTAGAGACCAAAATCTGCATGTTGGGTATTTCAAAATTATAATACCAATAATACTACTAACAATGAAAACCAGTGAATGATGTTTGAGGCTTCCTTGTGGTTCATTTTGTTCTTGGCACATTCACCAACATCCCATTCAGTATGTACAGTTCAAAATATTGTGTTTGTAAGACACTTGAAATAATACTTTTTTCTGTCTGGTTACACCACCAACCTGATACACAGTTAAGTTAATTTATTTTATTTAATTTGTTTTAATTTTTAGGATACATTTTAAAAGGATACTTGTTTTTTAATTATGTAGAATATTTACAATATTCTTAGTTTGGGCTGCTATAACAAAATAGTATACAGCGGGTGACTTAAACCCAAGGAATTAATTTTCTTACAATTCTGGAGGCTGGGAAATCCAAGATCAAGGTGCTGGCCCATTTAGCTCCCTGGTGAAGGCTTTCTTCCTGGCTGCCCTTCTGCTGCGTCCTCACATGGCAGAGAGCTCCTGTCTCCTCCTTTCCTTATAATGACACCAGTCCCATCATGGGGGCTCCATCCTCATGACCTCATCTCAACCCAGTTACCTCCCAGAGGCCATCATCTTTGAGGTTAGGGCTTCAACATGTGAAGTTGGGGGAGACACAAACTCAGTACGCAGTCAAAGGCAACACTTAAAAACGATAGCTTCCATTCTGTCCCTGCTATCTTTTCCCCCCTCTCTCCCTGCAGGTAATTTTTCTTTTTAGTGTTTTGTTTATTCATCCATTGTTTCTTTTTGAAGACAAGCAAATATACTCTCATATATACATTTACATATGACTATAGAAACCAAATATGTTTTATTTCTCTCCTCCCCCATTTTCTTATGTAAAAAAGCATACAACCTGGTGAATATACTGAAGACATTGAATTGCATATTTAAAAGAGTGAATTTTATTTTATGCAGATTGTATCTCAGTTTTTAAAAGCATACTATAAACAGTGTTTTTGCACCTTGTTTTTTTTCACTTACATTTTGGAGATCACTTTATATCCCTTTAAGAGCTCTTCTTCATCCATTTTTACTGCTGTATTATACTAGACTCTTAGTTTGTTCAACCAATCCCCTACTGATTAGACATTGGGGCTGCTTCTACCCTTTGCCATTGCAAAAAGCGCTGTAATAAACAGCCTTGTGCATGTGTCATTTCATGTTTTTGAAGGGGGTCCTGGGATAGATTTCAAGAAATGGGGTTGCCGAGTAATTGCACATAGGTTTGCTTGATATTGCCAATTTCCCTCTGTAGGGGCAGTGTGATTTCATTCAGTCATTCCTTTTTTCTTTCTTAACTTTGGTTCCCTTTTTATTACACTAATCACATGTCATGGCTGAGAGTACACTGAACATTGTTGGTGTGACTCAGAATCGTCCATATTGGTCTCTATGGTTTTGAACAAGACAAAACAACACAGTCTCCACTAGAGCCTAACAGTCTTAAATATGCCCAAGCTAGTCTCAGACGGGATGTTTCCTGAAGATAGTGAAAACGTAGCTAGGATGGGAATGTGTGATGCCCACCCTGACACAAGGGAGGCGAGAAAAGGATCATGCATTAAAATGATTAGCAAGTAACTATTTTATGTATTTACCAGCAATTTGAGGCAGACATGAATGAACAGGAATACTTAGAGGACGATCCTGATTGAAAAACATTTCAACATATCTGTAGTCCAGTCAGAATACTGTGGTACTATATAGTGTAAATAACTGCTCACAGATATTTCCATTTATTTTACTTTGAGTAATAAAAAATTCCTCTATTTCATGCATGATTGAATACAATTTTGCTTTAAAATTAAAGCAAGTCACAATCAAAGAAGTCACTTTTTCTAAAGAAGGTTTATTTTTCTAACCAAGAGGCCAAGCTTCTGAATTTTAAGGCCTTAATAAATGTTGCATCTTACTATTTTCATTGAACAAGAAGACTTATTTTGATTATTCCTGGTAAATAGCAATTTTGTTTTTCCAGTGGTTTCCGTTTGCCAAACAGTCATGACAGATGTTTAACATGCTGGCTCCTGTTTTCAGGGGATTTTATCAGCTGAATCCTCATTTCCAGGCAACAGCTGTTGGCAATCTTTCATCAGAAGTCCATCCATCAGGACTTCTCTATCATGGTTGACCAAAGAGTCCTGCTTTGGCTGCTAGGACTTCATTCTGCTGAGTATGACTGAATATTATCCTGAAATCTCATGGATATTCTTTCTTGTCATTTTTTAATATTTCTGTAAGCAATGTTCTGAACAGGTGGTCTCTTCAGGTTTTACTTCTCTTGTTGTGAAGTCTTTAACACCATCCAAAAAGCATGTTTCTGTAAGTTTATTGTAGGTTCCAAGAAGTTCCTTAAACTGTTTTATCTGATCAGATTCTGGTATTTGTGTAGCCATATTCTTTTGGTATGTTTATTAGTCACCTTTTATAATGCATGAGTTTCCTTTCTGTTCTGGGAAAATAGTTGTCCAACGTTTGCTCGAATGTCTCCAGTGAGGCCTGATTTCTTACTTAAGCACAAGCTCTTGTATCCGACACCAGTGTGAGCCTGGGTGGCTGTGCTGCCAGAGAGACAAGTGTCCTTTCAGTCATTTCTTAAGTCTGACCTCAATCTCTGCTGTTCATCCTTGACCTCCCCTGAAGTGGTGGGGGGTCACGATCAAGTGACACTTGATACAGTCGGCTGTATCTCATGGTGCCTGGGCAGGCTGAGGAAAGGGCAGGCCCAGATACCCACTCACATCCCCCGACTCCTCCCTTCCCCAGCTGGATCCTATTTGATGAGAAGAACTTCGAGGGTGACCAGCACATTCTCTCCGAGGGCGAGTTCCCCACTCTCACGGCCATGGGCTGCCTAGCCTCCACAGTCCTGGGCTCTCTCCGGAAGGTACCCCTGGTGAGTACCCTTGTCCAGTTCCAGGCAACCCCAGAGGCAGTGTGTGCCGCTGGAGGAGTCCTAGGCACGGAGCCTGGGCACATAGCCCCACCTTCAAGGACCCCATGGTCACACTGACATCAAGGGAGCACTGCAGAGTATGTGCAGATACGGAAGAGGTACAGGGACAGTAGGGACCAGCCCTCAGGGGTCTGTTGGGGACAGGGGCCTGGACAGCTGAGGTGCTGGTCCTGAGCTGGGAGGAAGGGAGCAGAAGGTGGCTCTGCGGCTGTGGGTGGGGCAAGGCTGCAGAGATGCTACAAGCAAGCCTGTGCAAGTGATGTCCTGGGCTGGGGCGAGAGGGAGAGAAATGACACAGTCACATTAGGGAGCTGGGGTCTGCAAGACTAGTGACCGACTGGTTGGCCAGGGGGCAGCACACACAGGTCAGCCAACATTTGCTGAGCACAGACCACACTCCAGGCAGTGCTGAAGAGGTTTTCCACATACTGGGGCGTTTAAGCCTCACCACACGCCGTGTGGGTTTGTTGCTATTACCATCTCCCTTTTCCAGATGTGCTTGAAAACAAGCACAGAGAGGTCATGTGATTTGCTCCAGTTCCCACAGCTGCTAACAGCAGAGCCAGGTTCTCCCTGAGGCAGGCCCAGCTCCTGGGTCCATGCTCATCACAACTACATGTTGGGCTCTGAAGGCAAATAGACATATCTGCAGTCCAGCTTCAGGGCCCTGAGCAAGTGGTTTAATCTTGTCCAGCCTCAGTTTCCCCTCTGTCAAATGGATAATAATAGCACCTACCTTATAGGGTTGCTGAGAAGTTAACAACATTTTGGGTAAAGTGCTTAGCACAGAATCTGGCATGTAGTAAGCCCTGAATATGAGAGCTGCTATAATTACCAATATTATTATTATTATTCTTAAGGGCCATTTCCTGGGGAGGAGGTGTTGAGGGGCAGTGGTGGGCCTAGTCTGGCACATGTTGCCTCTGAGAATCTGGGGGACATCTAGCTGGCCGTGTCCAGGAGTCAGGGACCCTTTCAGGGAAGAGGGTCATAAATACCTATCTGGGGCCTGAGTCTGGGGCTGGAACCCCCACAGCCGCACCCTTTCTCCATACCCTGGGCCCCCAGCACTTTTCAGAGCCCTCCATTTCCCTGTACGGACTGGAGTGCTTCGAGGGGAAGGAGATCGAGCTCGACGGGGAGGTGCGGAGCCTGCAAGCCCAGGGCTTCAACAACCACGTGCTGTCCGTGCGGATCAAGGGGGGCATGTGAGTGGGTTGTGGGGAGGTGCAGGGATTGGGCGCTGCTAGTGAGTGACGGCTGGGTTTCTGGCCTCCTCTCCCTCCCGTTTCTAATCTGTTCCCCTCCCAGCCAGGAGGGAGGGAGAACTGCAGACTTTGGAGGGTCAGCGGCTCCCAGGCTTTGGACCCTCCTCTGCCCTGCAAAGTCCCAAATCTACTTCCCAGCTTCCCTCTCCCCTCTGGGCACCCTGGCCCCAGGCAGAGAAGTCCCAGTAAGAGAGAAAAGGAGGTGGAGGATGCTCTGATTTTCATGTCTTCTCCACCTGTCTGTCTGTCTGTCTGTCTGTCTGTCTGTCTTCCTCTCTGTGTCTCTGGCACTTGCTGGGCCCAGCTGGGTGCTAAGTGAGCACAGTGACTTCCGGGGCCGCCAGTGGCTGGTGGGCAGCTGCGAGATCACCAACTGGCTGACCTACAGCGGGACCCAGAGGGTGGGTTCACTCTACCCTATCAAGCAGGTGGGTAGTGTGTCGGGTGGAGTGTGTCTGTGCCTGCCCATGTGGGGATGCGTCTGTGTTGCCCATGTTTCCCAGACTCAGCATTCGTGTACTTGTGTCACAGTTTTTGCTACATTGTCCTTCCTTTTGAATCATTACCTACTTAATACTTTTCTGTAAATCAACTCAACTTTTTTTACTTTAGCCTTATCCTAGGGAATAATATCTGTAAAGTCATGAGTTCAATGTGTATGTATGATTTGTCCTTAATAGACATTGTAATAACTACATTACCATTACATTTTTAACAGTAAGTTTCTCCACAGAGGGCTGAAAATTATCTCATGTCCCACCCACCAGTAGGAAGCACACCTCACTCTGGGAAACCCGGTGTTCCCACTTGTGTCTCCTGCGTCTGTGAGCACATGCCTTGACATGGGTCTCATGAGTGTACATGTGCATACATGTGGAGGCATGGCTGTGTGGGGGCTGTGTGTGTGCATGTGCCTGTCTGAGGGTATCTCTGTGTCCATGATGTCATGTATATCCATATGTCCGTCTGCTCAAAAGGTCGCCTGTGTGGTTGCGTGTGTGATCACATCTGAGAGTGATTATGACTACACGTGTATGTATTTGTGACACTCTTGAGAGTATGTCTTTGTATGAGGACATTTGTGGGTTCTCTATATCCACAGATTCTTATAACATCATTGCTAGAAAAAATCTTGGAGATTACCTCCAACCCTCACATTTTACAGATGGGGAAATACAGGCCCAGAGAAGTGGATGAGGATTTGCTCTGCAATCTTGGGCAAGTACTCTACCTCCATGGACCTCTGTTTCCTCATCTTTAAAATGGGGTTAAGATATATATATGGAGTTGTTCGCAAGACTGAAGATAAATAACACATGTAAAGCCCTCGAAGCAGTGCTTGAGTAGGTATGCACTCAACACATATTAGCTGTGATTCTGTGATTCTTACTACAAGTAATGCCATCCCACTATCCAAGCACCCCAGCTGGTTTGTGGCGCAGCCTGGTGTGATGCCTGGCAGGCCAGTGACTGCTCTCCTGTGATACTTCTTCATCATGAATGTGTGTGTATGTCTGTATTCCTACAAGCATCCTTTTAGCAGACCTAAGTGCCTGGCGTGGAGTAGGCTGGGGGGGACCCGTGCATACATAGGTCAGGATGTGTGAGTTTGCATGGCTGCGTGTATCCGTGTGTTTGTGTCTGCTGCCAACTTTGGTGAGATCACGTGGACCTTGGGTGTATCTGCCAGTGTGTCCCTCTGCACATGTCTGTGGGTATCACTATGGACATGGAACCGTGTGAGTGTGGGTGTGCGCTCTGTAGGTTCCCTTAGTGTGTGTATCAAAGCAGGACTGAGGAAGGGTTAGGGGCAGGAAAGAGGGTTTGGAAATTTGGGATACTGAGGGTCCAGAGTTGAGGATGTTGGGGACCCTGGTGGGAGCATCCCTGCCCAGGACCCCTGACTCTCAGCTCCCCCTCACTCACCAGCGCCGGGCGTATTTCCGCCTCTGGAACACAGCACTGGGGGGATTCCTGTCTGTGCCAGACCACGTAGAAGATATGAAGGCGGGCCGTGTGGTGGTCTCAGAGCCCCGAGCTGGAGGCAGCTGCATCTGGTACTATGAGGATGGGCTGCTGAAGAACCAGGTACCAGCTGAGGGGCCAGGACAAGGATACCAGGGTCCTGGACACTCGCAATCCCACTTTGGGGAGTCCCAGTCCAGTTAGGAATAGACCCATCCTTGGCTAGGATCCTGGGAAGGTGGAAAATTCAGGCTATGCATCCTTGTGCAATTCAGGCTCCTCTCTGGGCCCTAAACTCCCACCTGCAAAATAAGAACAAACCAGATGCTTCTAAGGGACCTCCCAGCTCTGATAGCCTGTGGCAGAGCTTGGATCTTATTAATTATACTAGCTTCTTTATACAAACATTTCTTGAGCACCTACTACATTGCCAGCCTAGTTCTAGGTGCTGGGAATACAGCAGTGAAAAGACAGAACTCCTGCCTTCCTGAAGCTTATATCCTAGTATGAAGAAACAGAAACAGTTTAAATCTGTAAAATATTTAAGTGCCTTAGAACATGAAAAATGTGATAGGGGACAAATAAATGAAGAAAGGAAACGGGGAGTATCAGTAGCTCCGCCAAGGGGAGCCCTTCTTGAGAAGGTGCCATTTGCAGGAGGCAACATGCAGAGGTGTGAAGAGTGTTCCAAGCAGCAGGACCAGAAGGCCCTGAGGGGGGAGCATGCCTGGCGACAGGACTGGCAAGGCCACCTGAATGGTTGAAGTGAAGTGAGTGAGGGAAGTAATGGCAGCAGATGAGGGCAGAAAGGTTATGGGGGTACAGGCCAGGCAGCCACTGAAGGGGTTTCTTTTACTTGGAGTGAGAGGGAACACTGTTTGTGTGCCGGGCTCTGTGCTGAGCCCTTCACACGAATGCCTAGTATAACCCTTAGAGGACACTATGGGGCAGGTCCTATTATACTCCCCATTTTACAGGTGAGGAAACCAGCGCACAGAGAAGTCAAGTAACTGGCTGAAAGCCACACAGCCAATAGGTGTGTGGAGACTTGTCTGATACTAAAGCCTGTGCTTTGGGAGTCAGTCATGGGAGACTTCCTGGAGGAGCTAATACTTTTCCAGAATTTTTATGGTTTCTCCTATTGAACTCTCACAACAGTCAGCACTCAGGGATTCCCATCCCCAAAGAAACCAAAGCCCAGAAAGATGAAGAGATTTTCAGTCTGTAAGAGTCAGGATCCAGAGCTGGGTTTTTCAAGGGTATCCTGGGTTTGGTGGGGGCCCTGTGGGGAGGAACAGTGCCTGATGACTTTCTGGGGCCCCAGGTTGCCCCTACTATGAGCCTGCAGGTGATCGGACCCCCTAGTACAGGCTCTAAGGTGGTGCTGTGGGCTGACAGCCGCCTGCCTCGCCAGACGTGGAGCATCAGTGAATCAGGCCACATCTGCAGCGAGATGTTTGAAGGCCAGATCCTAGATGTGAAGGGTAAGGTGGGGGGAGGGGGGAGGGTGCCTGAGGGGGGAAGGGCAGTGGAGTCTGCAGCTCTCTTCTGACCATCTCCCCGTCTCTTACCTCTGCCCCCAGGTGGCCAGGGCTATGACCGAGACCACGCAGTGCTGTGGGAGCTGGCCAAGGACAGGGTGTCCCAGATCTGGACCATCCATGTGCTTTGACCCCACGCCTCCCCTCCAGCCCTGGAGGCTTTCCCTGGGATGCAATGTTTTTATAGGTCTTTTTGTTGTAATATAAGCTTTTTCTAATATGCTCCCAGGCATCCTCGTTTCTGTGCACCTTGATATTTGGGGGCAGGAGTGAGGATTTGTTCGCCTGCTTGCTTCCCCCTACTCAGGGAGGGCTCCTTGCCTCCCAGCTCCAGTTCTGGGGCTCAGTTGCAAGGCCTATCTCTGCCACCAGAGGGAGCCCTGGAACCAGACTACCTGGTGAGTCCATTCTTTTAGGTTGTCTGGCCCTGGACTGCGGGGGCACAAACACGATCCACCTTGGTCCCTGCCTTCAGGAAACTCGCCAGTGGGGGATTCCAACAGGGAGGGTGATACACTCAGTGACAGTGTAAGAATGGATACAGAGGGATGATGCGTGGAGGAAGGCCCTAAACCATTTGGGTGCAGGACAGACTGCTTGGAGGAGGGGAACCTCAGCTGAGATGTGGAGGATGGAAGAGAGTCAGCCAGCCTAGAGGGTGGGAGAGGAAAAGGTTCTAGGGATGCAGACAAGTGCAGGGGTGAAGCTTGAAGTTCAGTGTGATGAGGACACAGTGGGCCAGACAGGGGAGGTGAGCAGGAATCATTCCCCACAGGGCCTGCCCAGCAGGGCTCCTCTCAGCCTCCCCCAACTCTAGTCTCAAGGCCTGAAGGCTTGGCCTCAGTCAAAGAAGCTGGGGGAGTGCTGTGGTCCTAACCTAGCTCAAAGAGGGCAGGACATAGGAGAGGAACAGCTCTCTCTGACCCCCCCATCTAGCAGGCACTGCTCTGCCCCTTGGCCAAAGTCCTCCAGGAAGAGGCAGAGATGGTCAAGGTCCTTGAGAGCATCTCTGTGGCTCCCTTCTCCCTCTGCAGCTCCCAATACCGCCACCCCAAACCCAGAAGAGGGAGGAGTGGTTTGAGCAGCTGTGTGTCCTTCCTGCCTCCCCAGCCCAGGAGCAGGTGGGCAGGAAGTGGACAGTTGCCTGTTCATCCTTCTCAGGCCCCGTGGTTAGAGACAAGGGCACAGGATGCCTTTGAGGTTAGGGAGTGTGTGTGTGTGCATGTTCTCTCTGAATCTGTCATTCTGAAGACATCCAGGCACTAAGGTGGGGACTCTCTGAGCTTCTGTAACTGGGGATGTCCAGGTCAGTGGGGGAGGTCCCTGGGGACTATCGCTCCCAGACGCCCAGGGACAGGTGAAGGGATGCTGAGGAGGGCAGTTTCTGGGCCAAGTCTCTGCAAGGTGATCCTAAGGGGAGGGGCCTCTGCATCTGGACTTTGAGGCAGGGGAGCTGGGGCCAGAGCTCCCTGGTACCACCTCTTTTGCAATGGAAGCGTGGGAGGCTCTGTGGTTCTGCTGCAAACCTGGGTCTTGTGCCCGGTGATGTCCAGTAACCACACACAGGACCCCACTCCAAGCACAAGACAGCTTTATTGACCCCTGGCTGGCTACTGCTTGCCTTTTGCCTCCGTACCTCCCCGTGTTGGCCATTTCCCCGTAGGCACTACCTGTCAGTTCCCATCACCTGGTCATCTCTGGCATCAACCCCTCCCAAGGATGAGAGGAGATTTCTCCTGCTAGTGTAGTGGCAGCTTTCTCGGGGGCACAGGGGTAGAGCTCAAGCACGTCACCTCAGCTGAGGTAGAAGAGCTGGATGAGGGTGTTAGTTAGGAAGATGAGGACACTGCCACTGCCCAGACTGCTGAGTGTGGGGGCCCCACTCTTCATGGGTTTCTTGGTGGTTCTCACGGTGTTTTCCATGGCCCTTGGCGTGGTCATATTTCCCAAGACTCCAGTTTGTATCTGCAAGAGAAGTGGGGCAAGAGCAGGGGGCTTTTGAACCTCACGTTTGTTGTTAGAGACATTTCCCCTCCCTGATAAAACAGTCCTCACTGCTCTGTCCCTCATGACTACGACTTCTGCCACAAGGTCCTGCGGGTTAGTTGCTACCTGCAAAGGTAGTCCGTGGTCCGCCTCCCGTGGAACCCTCCTTCCACCTCCACCAGGCCACCAGCTCCTCCAGCACGTGGAAGACAGGAGCCTGTGGCCCCAGCCTTTGACCTTACTAGCCGGGTCAAGGGATTAGCTTCTCTGAACCTCAGTTTCCTTATCTTCTATATGTGGAGAAGAGCCCATCACAGTTGTGGAGTCACATGACACAAGGCTGATGAGAGGCACCTGACGCAGCATGAGTGGGTGGATATGTAGTAGAGAGGGTACAATTCTTCCCTAAGGAAGTGGCTGTGTGGTGATCAGACTGTTCTCAATGCTTCATCAAGCTGCAACTAAAGCTGCTCTTGATGGAAATTAAGCTGTTTTTTATGGTGATCAAGCTGTTCTCAATGCATGATGAAGTTGTTCTAGATCAAGAACTCGATGGCTCCCATCTCCTATACTGACGAGTACTCCGGGCATGTGGGATGCTGCCAGAGCTGCCTCCAGAAATAGTAGTTGATTTTGAAACCTGTTGTTTCTGGAGGGAGATCTTTGCATCCCCAAGCTTGCAGGCTTCTCTCCCTGGGAGGTTCCCTGCCTCTTCCAGAACCAGATCAGGCTCCATTTGAACATTTCCTGGTTGTTCCCAGCAGGACCGAATTCCCCAGATTCCCTGTGGGTGATGCCGTTCTCATTCTGTCTTCCGAAGCCTCTTAATTCTGTATTAGTCCACAGCAGCCATGGGTGCCTCAGTTTGCCTAGAACCTCATGAGGCACTCTGGAAGTGCTCCCCCGCCTCTGGCACAGGCTTCTTTCTGCTCAGGGACAGTTCTCAAGTAGTCAGACCCCAGGAAGAAGGTCTGGCAGGCTGGGAGCTGGGCCCCCAGTCCTTGGTTCTCCTGCTACAGTCTTTGCTCCCATGGGAGGAGGCTGGGTGCCCAGGGGCCTACATTCCCTCCCTCCCATACCAGGGGGTCTGGGGAGTCCTGGGTGCTGGGGTCAGGGCCTCTGGGGGGCTCTTACCTTAATCGTAACCAGGAGGCTGATGGTGAATAGGAAAAGGAGGCAGCCCTTCATCCTGGGAGTCTTGGTGGCTGTCTTAGTAGCAGCGTTTAGGGATGAGTGCAGGCCTGTCTGCAGGCCTCTTTGGCCTGGCTGCTTTTAAATGAGGAGGCACGGGAGGCGGGGTGGAAGGAGAGGAAGGAGGGCCTATGGGGTGGGGTGGGTGCTGTTTCCTTCCTGTGCCCTTGGGGCTGAGGATACAGGTCCTGGCAGATGATGGGTTCTGGGTAGGGACAGAGGCAAACCCCAGGGGATTGGAGGTGGGCAAACCAAGGGGGCATCTTCAGGGTGGAATAGGGTCCTGAGCTTGGAGTTATGCATACTGGGGATTAAATCTTGGTTTAATCACCTATCAACTCTGAGACTCGAGACCAGAAACTCTACTTCTCCCAGCCTTTAACAAAAGAGCTGCTGGAGGATTAAATGCAACCTAATTAAAACATTGGGGCAGGGGACAGGAGCTGAAGGAGAAAAGGCTGGGATAGTTTTAGGATTCAAGATAAAGCTGTAGATGGCTCCACAGTTTCAGAATGAAGGCTGGGTGAACACTGAAATTCAGGAAGGAGCTGGTTAGTAGAGTCTGAAAATGAAGGAATACGATATTAGGTGTCTGGAAATCTAGCTTCTAGGGAGGCCCATTCCCTCCAGGCTTCATTTCTTATTTCAAGTGAGTAGATTAAAATGTATTATTTCTGAAGTTTATTAAGACCCAGCATTTTGTGATTTGGATAAAGAGAGTAGCAGGTGGGTTGTTTTTTTGTTGACCTTAAAAACAGTTAATTTATCAGCAAAAATGGGTTTATTTAGGAATAGCAGAGAATTATAATTCAGGACAAGCAAGCTATTGCAAAAACCATAGGCTTGTCTAACAAACAAACAAAGAAGAGGAACATTATTTTATAGAGAAGGAAGAAGTTGGGAGCGGTTGTTTTGCATGAAAGTCCATTGGAGAAAAACAAGACTTCAGGATGACAAGGGTTTATTATTGGCCGAGTTGCTGGGATAGGCGATTTCCTATGGGAGATGCAATGTACATCTTTTCCTGTTGGGGTCTGTAATTGACAATTTTCCTGTAAGTAACCACAAGTGGTACAGCGTTGGAGCTCCCCCTTCTGGCCTCCCAACTCTTTGTTAGTTAGGCTTCCCTTTATTAATTTTCACATTTCCTCTTTGGATCAAGATCCTTCTCTGAAAACATCATTTTTCTCAGTTCAGTGGTCTTTGGTCACTCGGTGCTAGGAAGGCCTTCTCCTAGGTGTTATGACCTACTTGGAGGGAATCTGTACAGACTGGAAACCTCCTGAGGTCACATTCACATAACAAGGAGGGGCAGAGGGGAGAAGCTTTCAGGAGCTTCCCATCTGTAGTCCACATTTATCAAGATTACAAGCTCTGGAGATCATCTCCTCATTGGGTGTATTGTTTTTACAAAGGTCGGACAGGCAACAAGTTCAGAATAAAAAGTGACATGAGAATTCCAAATTGTATGATGGTTCTCAACCAGGACTCCAGGTCTGAAAGTAGCCAAACTGAAAATATTTATTGGCAGTTATTCTGACTTAGGGGAGAAAATTTCTCCCTATGGAGACAGAACCGGAGTGATGTATGCCTCCTGGAAGTCCCTGCTTAAAGAGGCCGTGAAAGCAGAACAGTGAATACTGCAGGAGCCCACGGAGGGGTAACCAAGTGTGTTTGACAGTCCAAAGCCCAAGTGTGTTTGGAAAGTGTAGGCATAAACATGAAGCAAAAGCTGATGAACTTTTTGCAAAACAGCAAAACTTCAAAGATGTTTTAAAACACTATTGTTATCTCAAAAGAATTGTTTGGAACCAAATGTGTTAACAATAATATAGCCTGTAGAGTTGTAAATTCAGAAGCTGTGAATTTGGATAGAATCCAGAGTCAGTTTACAGTCCAGATGAAAAAGGGTAACTTCTAAGAATCCTGAACCTTCTAACAGGTCTGGTCTGGACGTCTTGAGAAAGCTGCCTCTTCTGACGTCTTCTCCTTCAGGTCTGGGAAATCTTATTTTCAGGTCACCAGATGGTGTATAGGTCCAGTTAGGGTTTAGCGCTTTCTCTAGAAATGTCACATGAATCCAAAAGTCTATTCCCTGGAGTTTGGCAGCCCAAGGGTCAGTCTTAATATCTGATAGGGGCCTTTCTAGTGAGGTTGCAGAGAGTCTTTTTGGAGGTGTCTTTTTTCAATAGACAAAATCTCCAAGTTGTAAGGTATGATGGGTGAGATCTTCATCTCCTGGGAGTGCACTGTCAAGAGATTCCTTTACTAAAGCACTGTTCTTATCTTTTTTAAAATTTTATTTTTATTAAGGTGTCATTGATATACAATCTTATGCTCAGGTTTCACATGAACAACATTGTGGTTACTACATTCCCCCTATTATCAAGTCCCCACCACATACCCCATTAGAGTCACTGTCCATTAGCATAGTAAGATACTATATAGAGTCACAACTTGTCTTCTCTGTGCTACACTGCCTTCCCAGTGCTCCGCCTACCCCATATTATGTGTGCTAATCATAATGTCCCTTAATCCCCTTATCCCTTCCTTCCCACACACCCTCCCCAGTCCCTTTCCTTTTGGTAACTGTTAGTCCACGTTCTTGGGTTCTGTGAGTCTGCTGCTGTTTTGTTCCTTCGGTTTTTGTTTTGTTCTTATGCTCCACAGATGAGTGAAATCATTTGGTACTTGTCTTTCTCCGCCTGGCTTATTTCACTGAGCATAATACCCTCTAGCTCCATCCATGTTGTTGCAAAGGGTAGGATTTTTCTTCTTATGGCTGAGTAATATTCCATTGTGTATATATGTACCACATCTTCTTTATCCATTCATCTACTGATGGACACTTAGGTTGCTTCCATTTCTTGGCTATTGTAAATAGTGCTGCGATAAACATAGGGGGGCATATGTCTTTTTGAATCAGGGATCCTGCATTCTTAGGGTAAATTCCTAGGAGTGGAATTCCTGGGCAAATGGTGTTTCTATCTTTAGTTTTTTGAGGAACCTCCCCATTCTGCTTTCCACAATGGTTAAACTAGTTTACATCCCCATGCAAGACTGAATTTTGTTCTAATCAACAGGCTTAAGAAAAGCAACTGTAATTGCTTGGTTGGGTTTTCAGTGAGTGTTCTAGCATTTTGCCACAAGTTAAGGGTTTGTTTTCTAAATCCTGTTCAGGATGTTCCCATATTTCATCGGATTTGTGACTTGGCCCTCACCAACAAGCATGTGGACTGACTGATAAAAATCTGAGAAACCAAGTTGCTAATTGGTTTGAATGACTATGTTAAATTCTTCAGCAAACTTATGGGGGTCCTCAAGTCATTCAGGGAACTCTCGTAAGTGTGGTTCACAATTTGACCTTAGTCCAGGGAACACAGAAGTTTGGGGTTTATTTGGATCTTCAGGAGTCTTACTGTCTTTCTTTAATTGGATGCCTCAATTAGTCTAGATACTGTATTTTGTAGAGAGGCACTCTTGAATTCCTGATAACGTTTGGAAGCTTCAAAATACCAGTCAAAATTGATGTTCCATTCAGTTTTGACTATTTTAGAGCCATGGCTATCCAATTCAGTTTTGAGAAAAGTACGTCTGGGGATCAAAAGTTCTCCATAATAGCCATCAATGTTCCAAATTAATTTTGGTTAAGTTAGTCTAGTTAGTTCGAAATGTGCACGAGGAGGGTCTGCCGTTTTTAAACCTAAAACTGGCTGGTGTCCCAGGGTAGAGGGTGCCCTCAAAGCATTTTGATGACTGGGATCCCATTTTTTAGAAGTTTTTCTCTAGAACAAGAAGAAAAATTCCTAAACAGCACAGTTCCAATAGTAACAGCCTGGTTCCAAAAAGGTGTATACTGAGAAAAGGAAAAAAATCTTAAAATAGATCCCAAGGCAAGCTGGAAGAGCTCAAACCTGCAAAGAAAGCACAGCTTGAAATCCAGGAGAGACTTCCCATCATACTCCAGGGTCAGTGAGAAAGCAGTGGGCTCAGGGGCTCTGTGGGTCCTGGCGGCTCTTTGCTCACTAGCCTCAGAGTGGTTGGGGGGTCTTCTGTGGCTCCCATGTAACTCCAAGGGGGAAAATCTGTCTCCCAGCCTGTGGCAAATTACCTCCAAAACTGAAATCAGTCAAAAGAAGAAATAGGAGAAACCCGTTTACAATTACAATCAGTGGTCCACTTCTGCTCACCTGTCTCTGGCAACGTGGCTGCAAACCTCCCTACCCAACCTCTTTGGTCCAAATATGCCCTAGGTCCCCCAGTAACCACCTGTTGATACAGAGATGATACTCCTCTCCACCCCTTGGAAACACCTATTGATATGGAGATGAACTAGGGACAGGCAGAGATTCTGGAAATACTGCAATTTAACTCACTTCTGATAGCAAGTCATGTTGACCTTAAAAATAAGACAGTCATTTTACCAGCAAAAATGGGCCTATTCAAGAATAGAAGAGAAGTGTAACTCCAGACAAGAAAGCTATGACAAAAACCATAAGCTAGTGCAACGAACAAAGGAGAAGACCAGTATCTTATAGAAAAGGAGGACGTCGGGGGAAGTTGTTTTGAATGGAAGGCCACTGGAGAAAGCCGGAGTTGAGGGTGATAAGGGCTTCTCATTGGCTGAGTTGCTGCGGGTAGTCGATTTCTTGCAGGAGATGGCAATGCACATCTTTTCCTGTTGGGACCTGTAACTGATGATTCTTCCCTGTTGAAGACTCTGTTGGGGTCTGTAATTGACATTTCTTCCTGTAATTGACTTTATGGCATGGGAGCTCTCCATCCTGGCCTCTCAACTCCATTTTTTAGTAACGTTTCCCGGTACTAGTTTTCACAGTATCAATCTAGGAAGGATGGGGAAGGTGATTAGTGGAGGGATAAGCAGGTGACTGAACAGCAGCAGTAGGGCTGGGGTGGGGATGGCTGTGAAGTCCCTGGAGGGGTGGGGGATGAGATGAAGCCCAAAGCAAAGTTTACACAGTGTTCCATTCTCTACACAGTCTCTCACTTTATTCTCTGGGTGGGGCTCTGCAGTAGGTTCTATAATTATCCCCATTTTCCTGATGAAGA